GGACGGTGGATTTTGCTTTTGTGGGAAGAATTCCTTTATTTAGTAGGGTACGTCGGCAACTGGGGTACACTCTTTGGTAGGATAAGAGAAGTTGGTGATAAAGTAGGTCTCCGTTTTCCTAGCTGTCTTCACCATTTCTTCTTCTTGAGCCGAAGTAAAGCATCCAGTTTTCATTGCCTTGGTAACCGAAAACAGTGATCATGAGATTACATCCCCTTCCTCTTCCTCAGGGGCAAATAAACCATCAAAGTCGGGGTGTTTTGCGTGCCATCTAAAGTAATGTCGCTTAAATATCAAAAAACGCTTCCTCAACAGGTCAAGAACTTCAACATCTTTTTTATTGTTTTGAGTCCAACTAATCTGTTTGGGTCTAATAATTCATTGAAACTAGTTAGCACTGTCTACTAATGAAGACACTACATATATGAGATTGGCAGTTAGTGATGCAATATGTGGTGTGAATAGCCCTTCTAGTCCACGCTAAGGTGGCATTAAGGCATCTTCAAAAGTTTTACATTTCCGTCCTCATCAGTGGACATGGTAAAGCTATCTCTTGGAGTCACTACAGCAGTGTACATTTGGACACTTGAGAGGCTGTCACGCCAAGGATTGAGAGAGCAAGACTACTACTTCTGAAATATCCTAAAAGAGCAAGCTGCTGATAACTGAAATTTTTTTAAATCTTCGGGTAAATAAGTTAAAGGTTTCATTTAGAGGATTATCAGCAAGCCCTGAACTATTACCAGGAGCACAATCAAGTCCGCTGATGAGGGGTATATAGCCGAAATGAATGGAGAAAATCCGCAAAAATTTATTTTGCCATTTGAGAATGTGCTGTACATAAAACCTACATACTTGAGTTTGTTGCTGATCTTCAATCTAAGGGTTTGTTTTTATATGGCCGATAGATCCTCCATATCCTCCTTGAATCTTTTAATCTAGTAGATTCGACCCTATAAAAGACTCAAATTTAAATCTGTTCTTAAAAGTAGAGACGATTTTACAATTACTTAAGCGCATTTTCTATCACCTTGCTTGATTTTAGTCTTCTCTTGAGAGCTCGGGTGAGGCACCAAGCCCAACATCCATCGGTGTAGTTAAGTTAGATGTTAAACCCTTTTCGAAAAGATATTGGTCACCACGTTTAAAAAAGTCTAGGCACCTCATTAATACTTCAAATGGAAAATGTCAAATGCCTTTACCTTGCACACCCCTCCCACCACCTGACGAGATAATGGGGAGTAAATTGTGGAAAATAAGTCTACGTTTATACCCACCGAATAGACCGCATGAGGAAACCAAAGGGAAGCAGAAATATGTAGACCACTAGAGGTAGCTAATACTACCAAAATATAATGCATTTATTTTCTTAAAAAGAAGCGAAGTACTTGTCTCGTGCACAATACTTCGGGACCACACACATTCACTGGGGAAATCTAAACAATAGCACCAATTCACGCTTGAGGAAACTGTTTGAGCAGATTGAGGCAGGAGATCCTTATGCTCCATCAACCATGCTTTGGGAATTTAACACCACACTCGCTTATCAACGCATCATTTCAAAACAGAAAAAAGGGTTTTAGGCAGGATATTCCTGCAGTGCTTTATGTGTATGTTAAGTTGACAAAGCTGACAACGGTGCTAATGAATGCGCTTTTCTAAACCTCGGCACTGCTCATCTGTAAAACGTTAGAATTAAAACTCTAGACAACAAAGCAAGCTGATCTGGTAGCTGGCAGCGCAAGTTTTGCTTAAGCAGACCTTCATGTCACCTCCGCCGCTATGCTGATGACCTACTGGTCACACCTAGACTAGCCATAGTCAAACACTCTGGAGGCAATCAAGGAACAGTAAACAAAAGGCGACGTATTCTCGTCATGGTGTAAAAGGGACCCAGACAACAATGGTGATACCGACGGCGGTCATAAAAGAGAACAATAACTTATGCGGGCGCAAGGTCATGAGTCAGGATGGGGGAAGGAAATGGGGCGGGAGGGTAGGGTGGGACCATATGTAATAGAAACGTGAAAAAATTGGCTATTTAAAGTCGGGTAGACAGCTTTTATGCGTCGGAAATAATATCATGTAAACAAGGCAAGGCACAAGATTTAGTTTTCGCTGACACTTAAGGCTCCGTCTTTTTACTTCCACTTGCCACGTAGCCCTTCTGTATGCCGACAATGCATTTTCTGCCCTCCTATTCTTACTTTTTTGAATTCAAAGAAGATAAGGAGTAATACATAGGTGGTAGCGAAAAGCGAATCCCTAAATAAAAGGTAAGTGCTCTGCTTTCCATTATTGTGCCTTAAACTCTGATGTGACGGAAGAATGTTATGCATTGTGGGTGGGAGTATCTGTGACGACCGCTAACAGGAAGGTTAAAAATGACGTCTACTTTAGGCAAACATCCAAGTTCTGTGTTCTACAGGAATGCTATAATAGTGACTCTAGTCGTGAACCATTTGGAAGGGTTTGTAACAGGTGTCTACGGTACCTGTGCGAAGATGTCGATGAAGTGAACAGGGGGCACATCCTCCACCTTACAACTGGTAGAATGAAACCTCGCTAGAGAGATATGTCCAGATAACACCGATGTGAGAAAAAAGTGGCAAGGAGGAGCAGACGCCAAACGTTACGTCCACGAAACTATTTTAAACTCCTTCCTTTGTTAAGTAATTCTACCTTTGGACCAGCGTTCTCACGACTAGCGATGGACATTCGTGAAGGTAAGCACATTCCCCGCTTCTCCAATACGGTTCCCAATTAGGACAGAACCTTAGATCCGGTAGAATTTTCAAGAGAGATTGGCAACTTTGCAGTCAGATTTCCTCTCTGTTGCGAGCAAATTCAATGACTAACGCTGTTGGTTGGATGGCGGGTGTTTTTTCTCATACCACCAACTATGTTGTGAGGGCTGACACTGGAGGCTGACAAGGAGAGCGCCTGGGATGGCGCTCAAAAGGAAATGGAGGCCATGTAAGATTTTGACAATTTGTTTAACGCCTTGGTTTGGTTTCGCAGGCACTCAAAACTCGGCGGTTGTACTTGTGCTGGGTGGAATGGCCCTTGGACTATTCCAGTAGCTCCCAGTTCTTCCCTACGTCGACATTACATAATCCACCACATTATTACACCCTCTTTCGTAATCGGTGAAATCTAGGACGCTACGATTGCACATTTTGGATAAAAATTCATCCTTTAGAAATAAAATAGTGATAATTAAGGGCAATTCTTTCAAAGAGCCAATAAAATTTTACCAAATTGTAAAAACCATCCAATAGAATTTCGACCAATGCGTGAGACTCATCTGAATCAAAATTTACATTTATCAGTTAGCATGAAATCAAAGAGATTTTTTGTTAAGGAAATTGGAGAATGGAGCTCTAGTTGGGTGGCTGAACTGCCCCTATTAAACATTCACATTGGCGTGAAAGGCATTGAGTTTGCCGATTGCCTCGACATTAAGCACCAATTTGCATTTCAATTTATCAAATGACTAACAAGCGCCTCTGCTACTAAGAGGTTAGCGTCGGTGTGGTGGTGATTGATAATGCCTTGCCGGAGGTAAAAAGTATCAACGTTAATTGCACACCTATTGTAGCAAAATCGAATGCGGGTGGGAGGTGGGAAGGGGGTGGTAAAAGCATCTATTTGAACAGTTTGCGTTTCTGAAATTCACTTTTGTCATCTCAGGGTGAAGGTATGTCAGTTGATTAGGCTACATAAGGGGAGGCTTGAAAACACGTGAATAGCGTCACGTCCAAACCAGTTCGGAAAACGTCAGGGTATACCTTGATTGTGTAGAGGGTCTGGTGAATCGTTATGGCAATAAGATGGTGAGTGAAGACATCGGAGTTTGAAAATTCAGCTTCAACGAATGCATGATATAGACACACGTCCTTTGGATGGAATAAATTTGTTGATTACTCTCTCCACTTTACCTCCGCTGCACTATGATAGTACGATCCGGGGTGTTTCTGGACATACACTTCTGGGTCATGGAGGCCAACTGGGAGGAAGTTGGGTTTTACTAAGACAATTAGAGTCATTTTATTGTAACAACCGACTCCATTAAGCGAGTGAAGGCTGTCACATTGACTGCCTAATCAAGCCAAGTTCACAGAAGCTACATGTCTTTCGAACTTGTTGCCATCTTCAAAAGCTTTTTTTTAAACTCCAACTATTTCCCAAGTTTTGTAATTAATTTCCAAATATTCTTTAAAGATGTTTTATGGAAACAGTTAATTTATCTAAATAAAGTGATTCAGCTATTAACTTCCTACGGCGGAAGGACCTGAAAATTTAATTCCAAAATTGAATGATGCCTTACTTGGCAGCAAATTGTAAAGTGGCATTATAAATTAATGTAAGTCCAAATCTAAGGCGCAGGAATGAAGTCTAAGAAAAGGTTGAAGAAAAATGTCTAAAGGTGTAAGGGAAATGCGGACTTTGGAATGTCACAGAGTGGAAAAACCGGGCGGCCTCAAATTCTGCTACATAATTTTGTAGAGGAGTTGCTTTTCAAACTAGTGTTAAATACCATTGATGTTAACATGTAGTACAGTGTCAATTTGTTCAACTCTTCGATTTGAAATTGAAAGTGCTTAAAGCTCCGTCTTTGTACTTTCGCTGGCCACTAGCCTTCGGTTCGTACCAGTAGTTGACCAGCCCCTCTCTACGTCGGCAGTACATATTCTGCCCTGATACTATACATACATTCGTCGTCAGAGAAGTCTCGGGGCAATGTATCGATAGTAGCACCTTGGGAACCCGATCCAAAAGGACAACTACCCTAAATCTATGGGTGAATGTTAGGCCTCAAAGTGATTTAAGTAAGGTACATGTCGCAGATGAGGGAATATGCGGTGGCCCCTAGTAGAAGGGTTAAAAATGACTTCCATCTTCGACAATTACCCCAATTCCGTGTTGTGTGCGAATGATATCAATAACTAAGTCAGCGCTAGCGGTGAACCATCTGAATTAGTTCATTACGGAGCTGTCTACGGTGGCTGTATGAAGATGTCAATGAAGTGAACACACAGCGCCTCCTCCACCTTTCCACCAGCTGGACAGAACCCGGACAGATATGGGTGGGCAGAACTGAAATGCGAACGAAGTGGCAAGGGGGGATAAACGAGAAACCTTGTCCTCAAGCAACTTTTTAAATCCCCATCATTATTAAATAACCGCGTTTTTATGCATTATTCTTACTACTAGCGATGGAGATACAGGATAGCCTGCACGTTTTTTCCCTTTGACACTACAGAGTTAGATCCAGTGAAATTGCCAAGACAAATTAGTAAAGTTTGGGTCAAAATTACACAAGTAATTTGTTATGTCCTACCAACGTTAGTAATTCAGTAGGCATGCTATCTCATCACAACTTAAATGGACTTATGAAATTCCATTAAAAAGGCGGTATTAAACTTAAAGTATATTTTAGGACTATGTCAATGCGTCATGAGAGGTTGACCCACCTGGCTGTGTGACATTTACTGACAGGTTTATGGAGTGTACTAAGAAGGTTTATTACTTATCCCATAAAGGGTTGGTAAGGCTTCAAGTACATACAATTTTCATTCAGGCTCCATAGTCTAGGCAAAAAACAAATGGCGAGTTTTCTTCTGTTAACTTGCCATAATCGCCTTCTTTTGAGTCAAGTCTGTGCTTAAGATTTTTTGGATTTCCATTTTCAAGCATTTTTTGGTCACTTCAAAATCTTTCTCAAAAGATTAACATCTTTCAGTAATACTGGACTCAACCCTAAACGTGATGGTTGACAGTTGATGGAAATGTCTCAAACTTAAGACTGAACAAATTCCTGTTGTTGAATACGCCACTTAAACAAACGTCGGTTCACTAGAATGCCATCTCCAGCGTTCTCTGTAATCACTCTAGCTTTTTGTACATTGTAACCGTCTGGGAGACCTGAACGTGGGTATTACTAAAATTTTTCTTCGCTTAGATTTAACGCTACCAATTTTAATATCACCTGAAAAGTGAGTAAATTCCATTATCTTATACCCTTCACAGGGCGAACTGGAGTGAAAGGAGAAGCATTTGAGGATAAATTCTATAAATTGGATGATTTTTTACATAGAGAATGGTCTCAGTGGTAGCTGCTGTAGCAATGACATTTACCCAAAAGCATGATAAAGCCTTAAAATCACGGTAGAATCGTCTTGTCCACACGAGAATAGGGTGTCACAGTCCATACATTTTATTGTTCACTTGTTTAAAGCTTCACTACTCTACTGCCTTATAGGATTTAGGGCAATTAGCTACCATAAAATTGCAAAGAATATACGTCACGCCTTTGTGACGCCGTGCTCGGGTAAGAAAATTTGGGGCGTTATATATGCGTGTGACACTGGTGGTGGGCGGGATAAGTGGGGTATGCTCAGAATACAGATGTATTTCTTGTTTTGTGTTAAATGCACAAAGCAAGGGCCCACACACAAGGCGTAAATCTCTACTAGATGGCAGCCATTTGATAAGTCATCACTTCTTTCCCCCCACCCCCTTCTTCCGGCTAGATCGCCCAAATCCCATTTTCCCTTCAACTGCGCGCGACCACCCACACAGAACGTGGCTGAAGCGACCGTAAGCGCGGTTGCGTGATTTATTATTGATAAGTTTGACATTATCACTGTCCAAGGAGTAATGCAGGCTATTCTCTCACACACGCAGCGTTCACAGTCATCGTGGTGGAAGACTCGGCTCTTCTGGCGCGGTAGAGCCAGCTCTACACTTTTAGGTGACTTGGCAGAAGGATGGCGAGGAGGGAGGGGGGGCCAGTGTTAGGAGAGCCAAGAAATGCTTCTGACTGGTATAAATTCGTGCCTATGGATACAGCTCAATGGTGCCCCATGTAGATAATTTGAATAGGTCCTAGAGGTTTAAAACAAACTAACTTCGAAAATGTCACTCCAATTGTCATCATGGTTGGGTTAATTTATCCCCACTTTAAAAACTAAGAAAAGGTTATTTATCCTCATATTAGGGACCTTTAAAGTAAATTCGTAAATTCCATTGCTTTATAAACTAATCTATCTGGTGCAACCAGTTATCCCAAAATGATCAAAAATCATGTGTCACTTATTTGTGACGCAGGGCTTAGTTAAGTAACGTAGATATACAGTGTGTAATAGACGAAGTACTGTAGACAGTACTCTCCATTTAGCAGTTCTTATCAGGTAATTGGGAGTCAATGCGGTTACCGTAATCCTTCTGATGTGAAAGTCCGTCGACTTGACTATTCACAGTAGATTTCCCCTTCTAGATTGCCTTAAAATTGACAAGGGTACGAAACCCCAAAAGCTACTGCAGTAGAGCAGCCAGAATCGTAGCCCTAATACCGAAGTACAGAATGTTTAAGAAATTTAATACGGGTAGCGTAAAATGGACTCCTCAACTAATATCACTTTACCGCAATGAAATTGCCTAGGTAGCCTGGGCGATACATCAGTATATTTTACGGCATAAAAGAAATGAATTTTTACCAGTATCAGACATGTAATCATAGCCTTCCAAGACTAACACCCTTGAGATATAACAGGCTATTAATTGAGAATTCGCGACTACAGATCCAACTCGACTTTCCCTGTGTCACATATGGGTGACACTAGGGTATTTTTACCCAAAACTTCATATCATGTATGCATGACGCACTAGTTAAAAGACACTAAATTACAATAAAGATAAAAATTAACTTTGACAGAAATTGGTTTTACTGGACACGCATAAAATCTGGACTCTGTGCTGTCACAGATGTGTGACATGCATTCGTCATTACTTTATTATGCAATTGCACTAAGTTCTGCCAAAAATGGGGTGGTGAAGCTGATAACAACAAAACAGATGTTAGACTCTCTTGGTACAAGAACATATTTTGCTTTTTAGAGCAGCAACCGAATGGATCACTTTGGTGGTGCAAATGTTAATACCATGTTGGACGATAAAACAGCTTTCAAGAAACTAGTAACCAATCTCGAAGCGAAACTGCTAAAGTCCTACTCACTTGCATAGAAGCTTGGATCTTTTAATATTCCAAGGCTATGATGACTATTTTTGCAAGCACTTTGCCTTCAGCACTTCGCTACGGTTGCAGTGAGTGTGAGAGGGTGCAGAGCAATCAAGCCCAACCCACTGATTAATGCATCAAAACGGGGTAAAGCAGTGCCATCATCATCTGGAAACAAAGGATGAATGACTCCTCTTGATAGGATCCCCCATTTGCTCAGGCACTCACGACAAATGACGATGTGGGTGGTTGCGTTGATATATCTTAATTGTGATCCTCTCTTCACTCATGCCTAATTAACACAGACTAGGCATTTTATGTCCTTTTTAAAGTTATGTGCCTTGGAAATTAAAATAAAGTGTTAATATCCTCATTCATTGGCCATCTTGTATGAATTTTATGATTGTGTTATGACTAGGCGCAGCTAGTCATGTTAGCCCATTAAAAACTCCTCGTCACATATTTGTGACACTACAAATTTGTCTTATTTCTAAATAGGTTATTAAAAAATCTTGTTTTCCATACAATATTTCCACCATTTTATATTCAAACGTTAACTTTCCTATTTTGTTACCGATACATTGATACATTAAACGAGGATTCAGAGAAGACCCGACAACCTCCGATTGAAGCTAGCCGTCTCTCCCTCAAGGTAAAAAACAATGCCACATTGTCTGAAAAATTAATTAGGCAGAATTGTTGGTTAACTGACCTCGGAGAATCACAATCAGCGTGTCTTTTAAGAATAGTTAAAAGTCAAATTTTAACATGAAATGGTTGGTAAGTCTGCTGTGAATTGGTCATCTTGATGTGGACTTGGGTTCTGTTTACGATAACGCAACAAGCTGTTCTTCCACGCTATTATGCTATTCAGCAACTTCGAGAAAAAATTGGGTATAAAAGTGATGGAAGCGTTGTGAGATGCGGCCACACTGGGAATGTAGGACGTAGTTGTGGAAGAAGGTCATCTACTGCCTATGGCTGGATCCGCAGAGAGTCCTAGTAGATGAGTGGGCCTTTTATACCTGTCCTCACCTCGAGTTGTGCACCAGGACTACGTCTATAAAGAGACTTCTTTAAAAAGCGTTTGAGTTCTACAAAAGGAAGTTTTTTATTTGACTTCCTTGGTGCGTCGACTCTAATCTGTGGGCACCTCTATGTCAGTAAGGGATCCAATTCACCTCAGGGCCTCTTTCAACCATTCCTTTGGTGCATGTATGGCTATCAATATTCCGCTGTTCACCCACTATTCTCTTTCTCTCTCCTCCGCTTTCTCGGCTTGGCTTCCTGTCGCTCCGCTGCTTCTTTTTTGTGTCGCTGACTAATGCTAACGCACTGTGGTAGGTGTAATTGCTGACATTATGAGCGCCTTTTGCGGCACAGGCTCCATGGTTTTTCAGCAAGAGATCCCTTTTCCTCGTTCGCTAAACAGTCGCAGTGATCAAAGAGTACGCCAACTTCTTTCCCAGGGTTACTTGAGTAGACCGAAAAGATCTAGGTGTTCCCTAAGAGGAAGGAACGACATGAGAATGGTGAGGACGACAGCCGGGAGAGTGAACGAATAGGCAGATTGGGCAAAGTTAGGAGGTTGTTGAATGGTGGTGACGCATCACGTAAATGAAACCGCTCTTTTTGTCTCGAGTTAATGTTTCCCCTTTGGGAGCGTGTGTGTGAGTGTGAGGGTGACATGCCACCCACGGTGCCGAGGAGAGTCTGTGACTTAGCCACATACTTTTTTGGCGGCAACAGAAAGGTGGGCCAGCCAGGAGGTTGCCTTTATTCGTGCGTGTGTGTACCCGTGCAACTAAGCTCGGGAGCGAGCAAGGAAGTAGTCATGGTAATTAACCCGGACAAATTAGCATTCTTCCTTGTGCCTTGGGAATTAATGCTGCTGCAAATTCTATGAAGGAGTCTTATACAGCCATACATCAACACTAGTGGTGACTAATAAATATGGGGACTTTCCGTTTATTTAATTTGTGGGGTTTAGTACCCATTTCTTTTAAAGAATCCACGTAAAATCGTAATGTTGGCCTCCAGAGCAGTGTCATGTCCTTTCCTTTTCCATATTCTGTGATCAAGTTTCCTTATCGGCTGCCAGGAGGGTATTCTGTTAAATTGGGATCATGCAGTACCTCTGGTTGTAACAAGATTCGGTGCAACTCTTTACTATAACTTGGTGTGGACCGTGCGTCACACATTTGTGACGGCGGACTTCAATAAGATAATCAAGACTTTGCAAATGTGATGCTGGTAAATAAAATGCTGATGGCCCCGGTCTAGAGTAAAATCGTAGAGAGTCCGAAATGCAACAGATAGCTAGAACTTATCCGTTCCCTTTCTTTTCACCAATTAATATCGTGCTAAAATGACTGATATTTGTGGTCCAGACACAAAGCGTCACAATGCAGAGTCCAACCCCCTCCTCCACCACCTCCCCTACCATTCTCACACCTCCGCCTGTTTTTTTAACAAATGCCCACACACCCACGCCTAGCCAACGGAAAAGTAAAAGAACCACGTTAAACCTACCGCAGGCACACTTAGCCCTAGCTAGCCAACCAAGAGAAAAGTGAGTAAACCGGACAAAGTAGAATCAGTGTTGTCTTGCCTAGGCTAAGAAATATGACGTCATAAAAATTGGGAAAAAGTACTCTTTTCTCCCTTTGTAGTGGCATTTTAATGTTGAAGGAGCCGATCTTGTGTGTCTTGTGTGGTTGTTTATGTGAAGTCAAATGGCAGGATGGCATAAAATGACGTTTTATTGGGATTATCGTAAGAGGCAATTGCTTATTTAACCAGATAGAAATTGAGGTATACTGTGTTTGCTTAATAAGCGTAAGTATGAATCACTAGAATGATTAGTAGACAAGCACATGGAATTAGAATGATATTTATCTCTTTTATTATGGGACCAACTAAGCCTTCGAGAATTCCCACCGCCAAGTGCGGCAGATGGTGGAAAGTCTGTCTGGTCATGTTCTTCCTCATTCTGGACTCAGCTGTTGACAAAATGAACGCATTAGTAGCAACCACTGAATCCTCCATTTTCTGCCTTAAAGGACTCAGCATTTGATGTAGAGAACATGGACACTTCAAAGAGAGGCCACATGTGAAAAAGGCAGTTTCTGTCGCCTGTATTGGAAGATTCGATTTAGCTAGCGATGCTGGAAGGGTACATCCTTCATGGCGTTATGGGTGAAGCAAAATACACTGCAGCAGAAGCTTTTTTCTGGCAGCTGAAGGTTAATTGATAACCTTCATTCATCTCTCAAAATAAGTCTCAGCCCCTTCCGAATGTCACTGAGACGTCCGATGCGGAGTGTTAATCTCAAGGGTCACCAAACATGACGCGAAAAGGAGAAAGGCGGCTAGGGTATGAAATAATGGTAAAGGAATTACTTCAAGTGTCTCCGTATCATACTTGTGTAGCGTTTCAATACCTCCAACCAAATATTGAGGCGGTATAAGGAGATGAATTGTGTACCTGTTTTTTGTCCTCCATCTTCCCCCCTCCCCCTATTCCAATCAAATAAAATGCTACGAAAATTTAAAATTCCTTTCTCCTTCCCCTCCCCACCCCTTTCGAATCCATCATAGCACCTGCTGGTGAAAATGACGTGACCACGTGTCCGTTAAGCAGGTGCTCAGGGGAGGGGCCATTCAATTTCAACTGATTGACATATCCACCTGCACTCGGTTGCCACTACACTGCTGTTCATGGGAATGGGGAGGCGAGGGGAAAGGAATGGACACAATGGCCCCTGATGATAAATTTGCAGCTCTTTTTGGACGCCTGTCTACGTTTTATAGACAGTGAGGAAAGTGTTGAAGCATGTTAACCGGAATTGTGAGTTAGCACAAAAATAGTGCCGATTTTGAGTATGACTTTCACATTGATATGCTCAAATGATTAAATAGGATTTTCTAAAAGTTTATTTAATTTTGTGATATTTTATGTGTTTAGCCCTTAGTTTTGGTTTCGTGGCCACTGAGGGCTCCGGCTTTATACTTCCACCAGGTGGCAGGTCCTCCGAACCATGCCAGAAGTCCCACCCCAGCTGTATTATAGTCGGGCAACACATATTCTGCCCTAATACTGTCTTTAATTCGCTTTTGAAAATACATTGAGAAGACGATAAATTTTAAACGCTTGACTTAGAGCTAATTTGTGCATTCCATTGGAATTAACTTTGGTCTCGTATTCGGTCCGAAATGTGGCTAATCAGCTACCATAGTCAGAGAGAAATGTCAAGTTTTCATTTCGATTGTTATGGGCAGTAACCGTACAGAAGGGCTGAGAGGCCGCATGTCAAAAGTGACAGGAGCAGGTGCTCCCATGACTACATCGTTTTCGGTGCTCCAGGCGATTGCTTTTTCAGGTCTGAGCACCACAAGAGCATTAAACTGGAATTTTAGCTAAATGTAAACCAGAGACAAAGACAATATAAGGATAGGATTACAGTGATATGACTTCTGATTTGTCAATGGGATTCATTTGTTCACACCTAAGGCAAACAAATAATATCTTAGTGATCAAATGAGAACATTTAATTTGAGGAAATAATCGTTATTATGATCCACAGCACCTTCTCAATGAGACGCAACTTCCTTTTATGTGTCATTTTGATTTCCAAACTCCATTTTCCGCGTGATTGTTGGACGCTAAGAAAAGTAGGAAACAATTGGTGGAAGGCGCATCAGCAGAGGAGTGCGGAGGATGGAGTGAGGCAGTCTCGGCCACCCCTATGTAAAAATACCTTTACGGGTCAGTTTTGTAGTATTGGGTCTTGCTTTGTGTCATCTTGCAAGAACACGAATGTGTATTTCTTCCCACTGACTAACTGACTAGTGCGGAGTAATTTAGAAGACTAGGTTTGCCTATTCACCTTTCAATTGGGTCTATTCAATATGTCTGCCTGGTCTTCAGCAGGCGAACAGTTCCTTCTGTAATCGGTCACAGGCAAAGCAGGCAGTCTGCATAAGTTCCTTAACTTCCCCCAACTCTGATTAAAGTTTTGGGGAGAGAAGTTGTTCTCGGAATTCTGGTGGGACGTTTTACTGTCTCACTTTCTCCACGTACTCTACAAATTTGCCGAGAGGTTACTGAAGCCTAGGGATTGAGTTAAGGATGATTCATAAAACAGACAGGTTTGAATCACACCCATCAGACTCTACTGACATTTGATGGGAGTTGACTAAAAAGGAGAGGGAAATAGTGGAGCACAACAAAAAACACCTTGCCGATGGATTGGCACCTTAATGATTCATTAGGCTTGCAGATAAACAACCGCATACACGGTCTAAGTCACTTTTAAATTAAGTAAAGTCTTGCCTAGAACAAAAACGAATAAGTTCATTAGATGTATCCTCAGTGTTTAATTCAAATTTTGTCTTTGTCTTTCATCACTATTTCATGGCTATAGAGATAGTTCTTAGGACCGTGCCAGGAGCCCCCTAGCCCTTCCGTACGTCCGCAACAGATTTTCTGTCCAACTGTTATGGCTTTTTTCGCTTTTAGAAGGTCTTAGGGTGCTGCACTGGTGGCTTTGGAAAGCGAGCCCAATCCCAAAGAGCAACTACTCTGATATCTCCAGTTGAATGCTAACCCTTAAGTTGACAAAGAAGAGCATATTTTGGAGAATCAGAGGATCTGTGGCGCCTACCCACGTCAGCTACCCCAGTTCTGCGTTTTGCAGAAATGCTATTAACAGATGCAGTGACACTAGCCGTGAACTATCCGGGATTGTTCCTTACGGAGCTGTTTACAGCACCTGGGTGAGGGTGTTAATGAAGTGAACATGCAATGCATACTCCACCTGTTTAACGGCTGAATAGAACCCAAACAGGCAGATGTCGCTTGACAGTACTGAAGAGAGGACAAAGTAACAGCGGGGAAAAGTCGCGATAACTTATCCCCACATAACTATTTTAGGCTCCGTACTTATTTAAATGACTACTTTTAGGCCAATATTCCTACTGCTAGAGGTGGATGGTCACGATGACTGGCACACTTCCATCCGCCCCCTACTCAGTTCCTGAACAGGACGAAAATCCAGATCCGGCATGATTGCTGAGAGGAATCAGTAACATTTCAGTCAGATGGCTTTGAGGCCGCAAGCGTGGCTGGTTCGTGGGTGCTTTCTCCAACTGCCAGTTACATTGTCATGGCCGACGAGGGAGATTAGCCAAGGAGAGGGCCGAGGATGAAGCCTACCAGGTGAGAAAGATAATGTATAATACTATGACTGTTTTATTCTTCGTGCTAGTTGCATTGACACTTGAGGTTCGGCCTTTGTACTTCCACTGAGTCAACTGGCCTCCGGGAAATGCCGTTGCTTCCCTAGCCCTTTCGGACGCCGTCAATATTTCTTCTGCTGTAGCATTATGACTACTTTCGCCTACAGAAAAGGTTTAAGGCGGTATAATGAGTTTCGATAAGCAAAATACTCCTAACAATGAAGGCGATGAATGCTTGAGTAAGGTATTTTACAAAAATTAGGTCATTTTATTCACCAAACCAACGAGGTACAATGTTTGATGGGTTATCTTGAGAGTTTTTCGCACTAAGAGAAGGTATTTGAATCATTTTACAGCACATTTTTGTGCCTTTTCTCCTGTTCATTTTGCAAAAGTCGAAAATAAATACACAATCTTATCCCAGTTTTGCATTAAATGATTTTTAAGCCTTCTTGATGGTGATCGGAAGGCATCGCTGGGGTTCCATCACGGACTGAACTTGATGAACCATGTCTCATAAATTAAAAAGTTGGAAAATTTTCTAAGCCAAAATAAAAGTGAATAATGGGTAAGCATTTGCACAGATCGCATAGTTATAAGATGGATTTTTGAGAGAGGAACAACTCCTGCATTCATCGGGTAAATTTTCTGTCTTAGGATGCCATTTGATTAGGTTTTTTGTAAAGAAAATCTTCTTCATACTAGTGAAGAGTATTTGTAGAAATCTGGATCACCATACACGCACCAAAAGTATAGTGGAACTACCGTGTGTTTCCGCCAGCCGCTTTCAGCATAGCCAGCAACTGTGGAGAATCCTCGTCCGTGCTAGAAGTAATTTTCTCAACATTAAATAAGATAAAGGCACAGTTTTTGTATACCTTTATCTTGTGAAAAAAACCTTTGTGGTAGGACCTGACTCAAATTCAGTTTATCACGTTCAACACATCCATCCTTACATTCTTCCATCCATCCATCCATCGGCATCCATAAAATTTTTCATATTAATAACTCACTTAACTTGTTAAATTTTTAACTGTGTATCTGATAATGTGTTCGTTATTTAGGTGTCATCCAGAATAATCTCCAAGCTTTCCTGTTGGCTAATTAAGTAGTGGTTGGTGTGTATTCGAGCACAAATACTTCAAGCATTCTTATTTAGAATGGTGTATTCTATACTAATTTGAAAGACTGGCTCATTAAAAAGGAACGGGAAAGCTATTAACGTTTTATAAATCTAACTGAAGACTTGTTAATATGGAGTGAATGATATACAAATGGGTTTTATTATGCAAAAAAAAGTAGATCAGCTAGCTTGGTGTATGAGAAGCTCCCGAGGTACCATTCAGGTAGTCAAACTCACCAAATGGCTAATGACAAACATTTACGCAAGATTTTGTAACTCAGGACAGTAACTTAGTCCCAGCAGCACAGACCCATGTACGAAACCCTATTTATTCCGTTTTGCAAAAAGGAAATTTACTTCCAATCTTAGAGGATGGAAAGAATGAAGGCAATATAAATGCCATTCAGGAATCTCGGAAACATTAAAAAGGAAAAAAGCCTGTATTATATTTGAAGAGCGTCAACTCTTTTGTTCCCGTTTTTTCTAAGACCATTTGGATCTGTAGTCCGTCGAGATAAACAATAATTTGTTTAATTGTCATAAGACAGTTAGCTTATCAAATGATAAGTATCACGAAGGGGTGTTTTGAACTGCCAAATCGACCTTCGCATCATATGATGACAAAATGAAGTAGATTTTTGGTAAGTGAGATACATTTCGTCCTAACTTTGCTGCCATGCAACATTAAAATGATGGTTGGAAAATGAGTTGTTACACAGGTTGATTCAGGCCACTTGCCTCCATATGAGCGCGTAAGCACCGCCCCATTGCAGATAGAAGCAGCCATTAAAGCCAAAGTGAGCCAGTAAAAAATTCATGCTTCCGTGGCAGCAAACGCCGAAGGATTCAAAGCCGAAAAAATTAAGAACCTGTTAAAACAAATTCAGTAAAATACCTGGGGAAATTGATAAAGAAATATAAAAATTGGAAGCAGAATGAAGGAAAAATGAAAGCACTTTCACTGTAAAAAAGGAAGAAGCGCTGATGATACCGCCTGCTGATGGCTTAACATTAAAAATGTTGACAAGGATTGAAGGTGGAAGTAAAGATGTGATACCTACATAAAGGAGTTTTAAAGGAACCGGTAAAAGATAATAAAAACGCGGATGTAAGAGAGCTTCATTAAATCATCGAATAATTCCTCTATTATATACCACGTATTAGAAGTATCAACAGAGAAGAGAAGGAAGCAAATTAAAAAATAAAAACGTGAAGAAGTAGGAAAGTATTCTAAATGGTGGAAGAGATGAAGGGTGAGAACGACTAATATGAATCGAACAGGAGTGAAGAGAAGTGAGAGAAGAAGATTAGCAAATAAGAGGAAGGGAAACTTCGTGAGGAGGAGGAAGGGGGTAGAGAGGAACCTGAAGCGGTAAACCGTGCAAAGAAGAAGGACACGTGCGAGCAGAAGAATGAGTAGCCAGCATAAGAGAAGAGATGAAGGAGAAAATTAAAGGAAGGGAAGGGCAGCCATCTAATGCTGATGAAGATATGAAGGGTAAAATGCACACCGATGAAGGAGGAGTAAGGGAAGTCGACTGATAAGGAGGAAGAGGTAAGGATAAAATGGAAGGAGAAAGGCTGGCTGATGATTATGGGTAGTAGAGGACTGAGGAGAGGTGGGTGGAGGATATGATATAGACGAAGAAGTGTCTAACGAGAAGGAGCTGAAGGAGATAAGACTAAAGAGGAGAAAAGGGGTCGGCTAAAGAAGATAATAAATCGTGCAGGAGTGAAATGGAGCCGACTGATGAATGGAAGCAAAGATGGGCGGCGAAAAGGAAGAGAAGCTAACTAAGGAAGAGTTGGAATGAAACGTATGCCGATGAGGAGGAAGAGGAGTAGGATAAAATAGCCTGGTGAAAGTTGAAGAAGAAAAAGTAGCCAAAGTATTGGATAAAGAGACTACCGAAGATACAGAAGAGTGTAGAGGAAGAACAGACTCCGCCTGAAGAGCAATTATATGACGCGTCTAAAGGCGAGGAGATGAAGGCAGTTGATGAGAGGGTAGAGGAGGCGAATAAGTGGAACTCCAGATAGGTAAATAAGGGGTATAATATTCGGTGGAAAATGAATTGACCGAAGGGGGGGGGGGGAAATGATCTTGCTTAAAGAAGAGGAGAAAGATAAGTGAGGAGAGAATGAAGAATGTCCGGGTGAAAAAAAAGGAAGCTGGGTTTGATGAAGGAGAATTAGTCAGAGAATTTTGTTAAAAAAATGCATACTTGATGGGACTCTTCGTAGGACTCATGATAATTTTTGGCATTTACTTGATACTTCTTTCCCAAATTTTCCTCTTATATTGAGACATGGAATCGCCAGCACCAAGGTCTCTTACATTCCGAGAATTGATCCTCGAACGCTGTTGAAGCCCCTCCTACTCGGCAGTGCCTTACCCCCAACTATTCAAAGGTGGAAATTTCGGGTTCATTCAACAATTTAAACAAACCCCTCGAAAATTATACAGTCATGTAATCACTGTATACCTTTTGAAAATCCCACGCTTCTGCCTGTTTGAGGTATTGTGCAAAGACTGTTAAATGACAATTTAGTAAGAGAGCAATCCACTCACCATAAGAACTTTTTTTGCCCATATTTTCTTCAATTTCACGAGGTAATTTTCCAAGAAATTTTAATAGGGACTTATCAAAGTTGACAATTAAGAGAGGCATCTGTTTTCAATGTGAAAGTACTTTTTCAAAATTGGTCTTGCGCGACGCTCTGGCACTGACATTTCCTCCACTCAAAGCAGTATAAAATTGAACGAAGTAAAGTGAGATACTTTAAAGTTTAAATTAGCCTTTTAAGTGGGAATCAAACTCTCAAATGATGCTAAAATGATAAAATAAAGCCAGTCTAATTTTTTTGAAATATTAGTATTATTATTTTTACTCTTGGATGTCTAAATGTTGGTTTACTCATAGTTCACAGATCCCGAAAAGTTGGTCCAGTGAATAATCATAGCGTAATCCACATTGATAAAATACTTCTACCCCAAGGAATGCTTTTAAGCACTCCATGGGCCAAAAGGGTATACGGCTGAGCGTTGACGTTTAGAAAGACCTGGATTATTGAGTTGCCCCTAAAGTCTGCAAACCATGCTTAAGCCACCTCGAGACAGCGTTACCCTTTTCACGGGTGACAGTTGGACCTAGTTAGAATTGCCGAATGTTGTGGTTTCTAAAAGGTAAACTTCATTGAGGAAGATTCCATTTTAGTGATTGTGCCCAGGCTCGATCGGTTTTCACATGAACATTCACCCATCAGCAGCATGGGAATGACTGGAACCATAATTTTCAATCTCTGTAGCATCAATGTCATGCAGTCAACCCTCTCAATTCTGGTCTCGCTGCAGTGTAAACCATTACATGAGATAGTTGGCAAAGGTTGGTGCTCTTCAGCTCTAAGGCTCCACAGATCCTACTTCTGTGACCTTTGAAGTAGTATCCAGCTAACGGAAACAGGAATGATATCTACCAGGACCGGAGTCGCCCGCGGTCGCCATTAGTTTGCTGTCCTTAAACCAATCCTGAAAACGTTAAAACTTAGCTTTATGAGGAAAAACACATTATAAAAATACAGAAGTTTGGACTGGCTATGGGTATAGAAGGAAGGACATGGCATCAGGAATAAATAGATGGATACAGGAAAGGGTATCCTTTTTCAGTCCAGGTATATTCATTAATACCATTAATGATGGGAGTGAATATTTTCCTCCTAAGAGAGGCTAAATGTGAGTAGCTTTAAGATTTTCCACACACATCGTTGATTAACGATAAATAAACGATGCACAACCTAGAAGTGAATATTTACTCATCGTCGTCATTGTAACTAAGGAAATTGTCGATTTCCCTAACCACCTAGTAACTCTGCCTTAACCGCACCCAAAGGGGACACAAACGTCTTCATGCAGATTTTATAAGTTTTTATCACTTGGAAAAATAGCCGGTTGGTTAAATGATGCCCTTTAAAGTCCCCTCCTTTGGATGCGACATTGCTCCGATAACGGAAACCCTTATGTGTAAATCACTCAGTTTAAGAACTCTTACCCCGCCGTAGAAATGTTTTAGCATCGATGATCAGGTACTGTTCAGTAAAGTCATCGATATGTAGAGATATAGCTTGCAGTTATTGCTTTTAATTTCGTTTTTTAAAAAAGGGGTTTAGGGTGTGTTAGGCAAACCTTTTCATGATCATATTTTCCTCAATTTTTTGATCCCTAGTATATCTAAAATGCCATAAATGACGTTCAGCCCAAACCGTGACTTTTGATTTCTCTGCTCGCATCCTTGCAGTGGTTCTATTTAGATACCTTCAACCAGTATAATGAATGATGGTGATAGTATCATCACGCAAAAGGATGCGGTGATGAAAAAAGTCTCCTTTCAGTAAAAGAGCCATCCTCTATTGCTTGGGTAGCCACTTGTGCCTTCAGAAGGCTTCAAGCCCATTACATTACAACTATGCCAGACTTAGCTGTAAGAATGTGAAACGTTTATTTACTAACAGTGTTTTAAACATGGTCATGGTGGTTGTTTCATTAACCCTCACTGAAGCGGTCATTCCTATTTTAATTCTTCCAGCAAGAGGAAAGCCTGCCCAATCCTGTGCTTCCAACTGACACATAACCACCTGCGAGGAGGCAAGACGACTCCCTCTCTTGAAATTGTAATCACAGTAAATCACGAACACGAGCGATTTGGAGAGGTCAGTTTACTTCAGGCACCAAGACATTGCGGCATGCTTTTCTAGGGTGATTTAACTGTTCTGACAAATTTTCTATTCCTAAATTTTTTTTCCAGAAGTAGTTACAAGCTCGGAGGCATTTGCATTAGTGGAACAAATTAATGAAATTTCTGCTTTTGCAAAGTTTCGTAGGCTCCATTGTCCCTGTGTGACTTAAACGGGTCTTTATTTCTGTACTTGTCCTCAAGAAGTTTGTCAAACAGCGCAATCGTCATATCAGACTCACTAATGTCTGTCAGAGATGACTTCAGGCGGTATCAGTCACTTTTCTTAAACTTATACCCGGCCTTGTATTTTATACTATAGATAGTTTTCTTTACGATTTTGCTAATATTGTGCTAGAATTAAGAGCCCCAGGCTGAAAATGCAATTCTGGAACTATGAAGAAAGATATGCAAGGTCTTATTATTGCATGTCTTCTAAGCCTTGGGGAAAATCAACCACTGAAATCTACATGAAATATGTCATTTTAAAAACTTTGCTACCCAAAATAAAAAACGGCTTCATTATTTTTTAAATAAAGAACGCTTCTAGTGTCCCTCGTCCTCTCTGAAGACGAAGGAAGAGATAATATCAGGGCAAATGTTAGGGAGCCAATGGTACTTAGCGAATGCGCAATCGCGAATCCCTAAGTGCCGCAAAACCAACACAAAGAATAAAATAAACAATCGAGGCGTTATATTTTACCTCTATCACATTGAGCTTCGTCTCCTACACTCCTCTCAATTATCCACCAGTGTCGGCCACCACAATGTAGTCGGTGCTGAGAGAAACAGCCACGAACCAACCCCACCAGTTACCAAATTTGCATGGCAACAGGAAGATATCTGACCGTAACAGTACCTGTTCCTCTTAGCAAATCTACAGGATCTGGAGTTTGTTCTGTTGGAGAACTGTATTGGCAGATCATCACATACACCCATCGGAAGTCATGAGAACACTGGGCCAAAAACAGAGCCGTTTAATCAAGGACGCATTTTAGAAAGTTACGTGAGGATTTTTTGCCCATCCACGTCTATTTTTCACTTCGGCACTGTCCAAACATATCTACCCCGGTTCCATTCAGTTAGTAGGGAGGTGGAAGAGTTATCGGGTGTACGCAGTGTTGACATCTTCGTACAGGTAGCATCGACAGTTTCGTAACGGACCAATCCAAATGGTTCACATCTAGCGTGGCTCCAAATGAAAATGGCATTCCTGGGGCAGATGCCGAAGGCGGAGGTCATTACCAACTCGTCAGAGATTCTTCCACCCGCAGCATATCCCCTACTTCCGTCAGCTTGAGGTTTAGCATTTAGAAATTGATTTCAGTGCAGCTGACCCGAGGACCGGGTTTGCTTCCAGGTGCCACCAAAGAAAAGCCCCAAGACTCTCCTGAAGACAAAAGAGGGCACAAAAATATGGCAGACGTATTGCCCTCCATCGGAAGTACAGAAGTGAAGAAAGTGAAAAATTAAACAAATGGTCGAAGCTTAACGCACCTACATTTATTTTGTTACTTCTTCTTAAGCACCTGGTTTAGGGCATAATTTTGTGCTACCAGCCATCTTGAATTGGTGGAGATCACATGTCTGGTGTAAAAAATAACGCCGGTTCGAAACGCTCAACCATGTTATAATCAAACTATGCCCTTATTATTCAAAAATAAAAATTTTACCCTAAAATTGGTTGAAATTTATATGATTAAGGGGAGTGATTGCTATCCTAATTTCCGAATAACATTTGCAACCGGCGTCACATATACGTGACGGCCTGATTTTCCTCTTCAAATACGCACATTATGCATATGTGGCACAAAATAATTACAAGCAAATAACTTAGTATGAAAAAAAAAATCAAAATACGACTAACTCGCACCAGTTTTGACATAAGAGGATAGGAAAATGAAGGAGTAATTTATCTGTCAAGCATAATGTGCAAAGTAATGGAAGAACTCCTTAAACGGAGCAAATGTGCTTTGGTTAGCGAGTGTCCAAAACAAGTTTTTTACTAAGCAAAGAAGGGTAATAAAGGGGTTATTGGGAGCTAAGTGACCATTGGAAAAATGTTCCACACGATGCATTAACAATAAAGCTAACAGAGGAAAAATGTCATAAAGTATGGCGGAGGAAGAGAGGGAGGGGTGGGCTGGAAAGGCAGAAATTGTTGTAATAACCAAGGCGTGGGTCACAAGAGAAATTGCAGTTGACATTTTCCTGCAATCCTGCGAGCTTATGCGGTCATAAACAAACCAAAAAGTGAACCGAATATCACCTAGCATATCGGCTCCTCTGATTCATCTGATCTGCCGTCGGACAACATTAAAAAAGTTTACTCTAAAAAACATGGCAAAAGAAACTACAGATGGATGGAAGGAATGAAGGCAGGAAGGAAAGATCCTCATTTCCGCAGCTGAATCACCTCTAAACAAGGAGTGGAGGGAGGAGTGGGACGGCAGAGGTGAAAAAGCCTAATTCAAGCGAAACCTTGGCAATCGTCCCTACCGGCTTCTTTCCTGCTTTGCCTTTCCTTCTCTTTCCATCTAAAAGGGAAATTATGTTAAAAATTGGCGGATTTGTCACTTGTCTGTCGCCTTGCCTAGACACACACTCGAGATCGGGCAGTTTTCCCAGTCATTTGACCAAAATTTCTTAGAAGTAGAAGCCAAAAAATTAAGAGAAAATTTAAAAAGGACTTCATATACGCTTCACTATAATATGTATCGGTCTAATACCTGAAAGTAAAACATTCTGATGGGAAGTAATCAAACAAATGTTGACTAGTACCCAACTTTTACATTCTTACAAAGTGGAGTCTACCTTTCATTCAGTAGGTAACACTCAAAAAGAGGAACAAATGAAGGGTAAGTGACAATTTTTTTACCGGTGAGAGAGCAATCGGGCATCCGGATAAACGATTGTCTGTAAAAATGCTACACTTCCAGTGTACATCAAGTTGAAAAAGGAGGTGTTATCACACGTTCCATCGTGGATGGAGTGTGAGATGACTAGGGGAGAAAAAAGAAGAGCGTCTGCTTGTAGGTGTTGAAGTTTGTTATCATTAAAAAAAACCAACCTTCTGACCAAACGACGAGACCAGCGTTAGTGAGGACCAGCAAATGCATGTGACTCACAATCATAGCAATATGATAGCAGACGAGGAGACAGGGTGCTTTCCCCTAGCCTAAGTTGGACTTTTTGTGATTTAAGGAACTTAATGACTCATGATGGGCTGTTGAAAGGAGGTCATGCTAAAAAGAAAACGTCGAAATATATTTCAGAGGCAAAAATATGTTTTAATCATATAAATATTAAGGTCGCGCCACTATTATAATGAAGAGCAGATGGTTACCAAAAGAAAATATACAGTCTCTAAAGTTTAATGTGCAAGGGAGAAGCACATTTCAAACCAGGGCAAAAACTTAATGTTAACCAGTCCTGTTTCTCTTTTACCTTTATTTGCGCTTATTCCAACTCGCATATAATTATGTAGTTGTCTAATTCCGAGGGATGACGAGATTCCTCACATGGAAAAATGTTATTACTGAGAATGCGGAGGGTGAGGTGAGTGAGGCCTTGATTTGTCCTGTAGGATTAATACTATCCTCCTACGAAGGTGCCCATTTGAACCCTTTCTCAAGCGGAGATTTTTCTTAAGTAAGTCCGAGCTGTTTCCCTTCAGAATCGTAAGTTGACCTTCCGCAAGAGAACAAGTAAGCCAAAAGCTGTGCTTTCAGCTCATCAAACACCAAACAAGTACTGGTCATCTGGCGATGAAGTAATGAGTATCAAAGAAGTGTGGAATTTCTGTTTAGAAAAGGGATCGTTCAATGATTACCAAAGATGTTTCCATCTGCTTAACGAATATTGCCATAAAATGGCAATTTCTCATCACATGGCAATTGGTCCATCCGTCCACCGTCGGTCAGACAGTGAACAGAATTTCGTAAAAGAACGCAACACAGCCTTTCTACAAACTACATGAAAGAAGTGAAGAACAAATTAGTATTTTCTGTCACACATGACCAGCGTCAACCATGTGCTTAGCTACCACAATATCATCTCCCAATCAGATGTAGAACTGATCAAGTTGTTTAATCATTCAAGGTAGGCACTGTGGAATGCTTCCGACATGCCAATCTCTAAGTGTTTCTCTCCATGGACCACGACGTTATAGTCCTCCTGACTGTGATGCACTATTACATGGTGATTAACTACAAAAACCATCCAGGCTGTTTCAGCCAATTCAGAGTTGTAGGTGGCGCATCCCATGTCACCCCACCAAATACGAGTCAACAAGTTCGAAGGTACCCTTTTTTAGTTTTGCAACTAGACTCATCTCCACTCTTGAGTCAGAGAGACTGGAATCTCATTTACCAAGTCCGAGTCACATTTTGAACGTGCGATGAAATACCTCTAAATTATTGTTCAGTTACTTAGCTTTTTGAATGGAACTTATCTGATAATTTACACCAATGAGTTTTCTCAGCCCATTCTAAAAAAAGCGTCAATATTTTTATTAACTGCGTACAAGTATCCAATCAAGATGGATAGCAATATTTTTTTGACTGTCATGAATAATAAGATGGCGTCAATGATTTCCCTTTTCGTATTGCTCTCCTAAAGTTTTTTGTTCAAAGTAATTTCACCAATTGGGAGAAAAAATTACTTTATCCTTAGTTTTCCTCTTTGCCTCTAACTGCTTGTAACCAAAAATAAATTCCACATTAACGGAATATGTCTTCGTCTAATAAAGATACGTTAAGGAATCATACGATTCTAAAGCGTCTCCGTCATCAGCATGTGGAAGGACTGCAAGACTATTTGGATGGGTAATATTACCAGAACTTCATCTCACTATCGTGAACGCAGATTCACGGCTCCATGTGGCAATAGATTTTACCTTAGAATATCCTCCTGATTACGGTCAACTCCGATATTAGAATAAATTTAATGTTGGGTATTGCTTAGCGGCGGTCGCATTTTACTTGCCCATAGAGTTCCAGAGGAACATTTGCCCTGAAGCAAATCCATTAACTCGTTCGTCATCAGAGTTTAGCATATTCTGCCATTCTAACATGACACTACTCACTTTCACCGTGTTATTTCTGTCAAATCTAATTCACTTCTCGTTGATTAAATGTGGCTGGCTCATATGAGTAGATCAAGGAGTCTAAATGTGCAACGCTGGTAGTGAAAGTCGATTATTTTAATCAACCTTCGCATTTCATTGGCATTTTATAAGGCATTTCACTTGTCTTCCTAGTTTATTACTAGATTATAGTAGCATTGTAAGGTGTTTGACCCTCTTAGCACTCGTCTTATGAAATGTCGCCTGAGCTTGATGACTGGAATTAAAGTCTGTCTATCTCAAAAGTGGAGATTAATCCATTTGTGAAACTGCAGAAGGGTCGACTTCAGAGTTGCTGCCTAGCATCCGACAAGGGTGATTGAAACACCCTGAATGCTTCTTGTAATTAGCTATCACGTGGTGGGGCTTAACAGTCAGGACGATTCTCTAATATTGTGCCTCCATGGAGTGTGGTACTTGGAGATTAGCGTGTCAGAAGCATTCCACAGTGTCTACCGTGAGTGATAAAACAATTTAATTAGACCTACATCGGATGGGTGGAGAACGTTGTGGTAGCCACTGACATGGATGACGCAGGCCATGTTTGGCAGATAAAGATGTGCTTCAGCAAATGCTAATTTGTTCTGCACTTCTTTTATGCCGTTTGTACAAAGGCTGTGTTGAGTTCCCTTACTCACTTCTGTCCACTGGCCGATAGATAGGTGGTGCGAAATTGCCATTGTATGGCAATATTTGTTAAGCAAACAGGTACATCACTGGTTATCGCCAAAAGATCCTTTTTCTCACTGGCCAACCTACATCTCTCAGCTACCCGGCACTTTTTTGCAGAAGACCAGTACTTTTCATGTGTTTCATGTACTGAGAATGCATTTCTTCACTTGTTGTGGGCTAGACTACTACAGCTGCCATCGAACCCTTTTAACAAACTTTTTTTGAATCAGTTTGAGCTACTAAATCTTTTCAAAGAATAAACATTACTATACGATATGATGGAATGGAAAAGGATGACAATGAAGGAAGTAAGGATTAAGATGATGTAAAGCTCGTTGAGATGTTAAAGAGGCCGCAGGTGTGGACACTAGATGTGATTGATAGCGAGGATGGGGTAAGGTAGGCTATGCCAGACAATAGAAGACACTGCAACAGCAAACCTGAGCCTAGAAGAATTTTGTGCTTTGCGTTGATTATCATTGGAATGAGAAGCACTGCCCAACCTCATTATCCTCCTTTGTACTCCTCCGATGTCACTTGTCCAAGTTACAATTACCACTATTGCTCGACAAGTGTACTGGACAGCCAGGTGACCGTGTACAAGGCAAAGTTAGATAAAACTGAGACAGTAGGGTGATTAGGGCCTGATGTTTCCTTAATTCTGTAAACAATTTCTCAGCGCGGTTATATCTTGTTGCTAAAGCATCATCAACAAATGACATTTTTGTGGTCTACCCGAGAGTTCAATCACCAATGATGCCACTCTTGGCAAAAAGCATGATTAGTCGTATTTAACTTACACAAAATTAGATTTACTGGTCTATTGATGTGGAGAATACTAGATTTGGTAACCAGTTAGTCTGTCATGTTTGAGTTCCCTCATCAGTACATAGCCGTCAGAATATGACCCCATTCCTTCCGTCAGAATAGACAAATTTTAACCTAGGAACGCAAACTATGCTGCACGCAGAGCCTTAAAGTTCAATCAACCCTCGTGGTTTTACAATGAATAAGTGACGACGCTGTTGTGACGGCCCCTACAGACAGTACTACACAGCAAGTCTCGCCCGTTAGTAACAGCCGACCCACAATCCATGATCAGGTTCAGACGCTGTCAGTCAAGGCGGCAGACAACAGTTATAGTGGGTTCGCAGTGGCATGCAAAAGTGTGTAATGATAAACTAATTTTTCTGTCAGTGAAATCATCACTCTCGGACGTGGGGTACTAAGGTAGGCTGTTCTCGCACGGTTCAGGCAAACTAAAAAGAAATTTTTGCTGTGATGGATGCAAGTATGTAGAAGGACACGGTGCAGAAAATGTGAGCGAGTTAAATTTCTTAAAGTATACTCTTTTCGGTTTTTATGTACCCGTTAGTTCCTCTTTGCCTTGAACGCTCCTTGATGTAAACGCCTCTGAAGCGAAACTTTTAAAGTTAACCGCTTTGATATAAACTGAATTATTAGCTCTAAAAGCTGGTAATATACTTTATTCTCAGAGCGGATCTTATCTTTCAGCCGATCTCCAAGTCGTAATGGCGATGATAGAGCGGCTGATTATGGTAGGTGGGTGGAGGGGGAAGGGACGGGAAGGGGTGGGCTATGAACCATAAAATTTTGAGATAACACTCCTCCGCACGCACATATTCGCCACCAGGACCAAAAAAATTTGAAGCCTAGAGACAAACTAAGGTCGTAAAAAGCAGCCAACCGGTCCAGGCGTCCCTTTAGCCGCCTCAAAACGGCGCAAAATGGCGGGTTTGACCCAAAATATCAACAAAATTAGAGGCCTCCCCCCTCCCCTTCCACCCTAGCTGGATGAGTCACCAGTAATTCCAGTTTGACAGTTAAGTCTCGTGTAGAAATGAAATTTTATGGTATTATTCGTCGTAGCCAAGTGAAACGCCTCTACTGAATGACCACCTCTGTCGTAAAACGAACATTAAGGTCTTTTCCCTATCATTTATAAGTACACTTTTCCCGAACAAGTAATGTCAATTGGGCAGTTTGCATTATTAGACAGAAGTAATGCAAAAAACGAAATTGTTATGCATCGCTTATTGGTCCTACTTCCCACATTTCCATCATTGTGCTCACCCTGCTAGAGCTACAAAGATTTGTGGTTAAAATATCTCTTTTCCTTCACTGTCCACTGACGTGGAAATGTTGGATTTCGAGAGTCCCATAGTGACGATCTGGAAGCATGTTCCTTGCTGAGAAAATTAGCAGTATGGCTTGTAATTTTTTGAAGGATACACATTTAGTTTTTTCATGGTTTGGGGAGAAAGGAACAGTCAATTACTCATTGAGGTGTGAGTTTTCCTTCCCTTTGATGAGTAATGTACCGTGACTTCCCGATTTCGGCTGTGTGACTCAAGAAGAGAGCTTCCGGAAGTTCATTTTCTGGTTGTTGAAATTAATATAAAATAATCTATTCTTGAAATGCAATCTCTTTTAAATTTACTTACTACCCATGGAACAGTCACCTTGTCAAATGCGAGGTGTTTACTCCTGTCCGCAGTTGACCTTCCACTGGGATTATCCAGAGACCTGAGCAGCTTAAGTGTATTTGTGTTTTTTGACAGAAAAATTAGTGTGGTTCTTGGTAGAGTTTGCTGAAATGATCTATTGTAGCTTGTAAATACTTGTAAAGGGCATGCGATTGTTTCCATGCCAGTGCCAACTTTCCCCTTAAAAGTACCATTTACAGTGGAGAAGATGGTTTGAATCTGATGGATCAAATTTAGGCCTGTCTGCTTTACAACTAGAGTTTAACCGATTATGAGGCCTCTGAAACTTCTCTCCTAATCTATTGCGTAAAATATGTAGGGGACGGAATGTGTGGCAAATGGATGAACAAAACAAAATTGGTTTAAAAATGAGGTCTGAAGGAGAATCATCAGGTGATAATGCATTGCGTTTTAGAAGACCCTCTGCTCATAAGAATGAGAAATCGAATTAGTTTAAGGGTACTGCCTTAAAAACGTGGCAAAGAAGCTTTCGAGTCACCGATTCATTCACAAAATAGCGTCTTCAGGAGGTATTCGATCACTATACTAATGACAGCATGCCCCACACCCCTCAACCATTATCAGATGCTTCAAAGAAAAGTTATGCCTAACCAAAAAACGTCACGGGAGAAAGACATCCGCTGTAGTTGACTTGCTTTATGAGAGAGAAAGAGCGCCTCATGCTTTAAGTTGGTCAAAAAGTCCGCTGGGATTTGCTTGAAATCTGGTGCAAATGAAACGTCTTCGCATCTTGTATAAAAAGTCAAAAAGCCTAGTTAGGCAGTTGGACAGAAAAATGGGAGCTCATTCAAATAAGGCGCACTTTTCTGTACGAAATAAAGTAATGAGCGGTAAAATCGCCGACGACTTTCTCACACTTCCTCATTTTTTACACTATTATAAATGAAATTCGGAGACCGCATCATAGATTAGGCTTCTGGTTACAATTAATTGCCTCCACCACAGCCCAGTGGCGCATATCCAAACTACGCAGAAGAAGGTGAATTCGCATGTGAATTCCTCCATGTACCTGTCATCAAAGGCCTGGGTATGATCCAGAAAGAAGCCGCAAAATAAATTAGTTAGCAAATCTGCCTGATTATTTCTGGACTAATAAGGAGTGGTAAATGTGCCATGTTGTTGTCCATTTCTAAAAACAGCATTCTGTTGCAACAATGGTTTTGTTGACTGACGAAGAAGGCTGTTGAGCCAAAATCTTCAAACCACAAAGGCATCCAAGTCGGTAATGAAATACCGGTGGATATCAATTTTCACCCCGGTAAATGTGTGCCAAATTAAAACACATTTTTAAGGAGCAGATGTTCAAAATGTAGAAATTAAGTTAATCGTTTTCAACTTTTTTCGTTCAAAGAATGCAGAAAAAATTTACGCCACCTGGAATTCTGAATTAACAAGTTATTTACATGCATCTTTAATAACAGTAATTACAAGTAAGCAGCAGCATCTTAAAAAACACTCAAATGATTTAAATTTATAATTATGTAGAGTCCCGATAACTCTCTGAATTTTTAGGACGAAATAATGCCAGGACAAAATATTTATTGCCCATTTAAAAACGGACTGGCACGGGAGACTGATAACATGGCCCCAAGACATAGCTATAGATGCCGTGAAATTAAAAAGAAGGGTTAAACAAACAATCAAAGTATTACATAGCCCCTCCCTCCTTTCAGCGTCATCCCTGGCAATCCCCTTGGTCAATCTCCCACGTCAGCCATCGCAGCCAATTTGACGACTGAAGAAAAACACCGCTACAGTAATCGAATTTGCGTAAAACTGGAATATCTAACTGCATCACCACTGATTTCTCGGAATCTGGTGTTTCGTGATGTTTGAGGAATGCACAGATTATCTGGTATGTCCACTGCTAGTAGTAAGGGCACTGACCTAAAAGGAGAGTCATTTGGTATACGGGGTTTCAAATTGTTACGTGTGGATAAGATTTCTCCCCTATTTCGCCTTGCCCCTTTGTGCTCACTTCAGTGATGCCCAGCCGTGTCTGTCTATGTGGGTCCTAAGTATCCATCAGGGAGGTGGAGGAGGTGCAGTGTATTCACTGCATTGACATCTTCTTTCAGGCACCGTAGACAGCTCCGCAACGAACAGCTGCCAGATGCTTCAAGGCTAGTGTCGCTTCAGTTATTAAAAACATTCCTATCGAGCAAGAAACTGTGCTCGTTGATACAAGTAAGCGTCAATTTCAAACCTTTTGCTGGGGGTTGTCACAGAATCTCCCATCGGCAGCGTATGCCCTTCATCCTTTGGGTTAAAGTTTAGCACTCCAAAATAGAAGTTGAGGTAATAGTCCTTCAAGATCGGGTTTCCTTTCTGTTGCCACCAATATAGCGTCCTGAGACGCCCCAGAGGACGAAAAAGACAACACCCAAGCAGAAGATGTATTGTCAACTTAAAGAATGGCCGAGGGACTACTGGCGTGGCCCGTGGATCGTGACGCCTAGCAAAAGTACAACCACGAAACCTTAAGTTCGCGCAAAATCAAAGCGAAAAATTCACCAAATAACCAAGGCATTACACTTACTTTCAGGATTTTAGCTAAAAGGGGCATGCAAAGTAATGCGATACCTTGGTGGTCACACCTGCCAAGCTAGTGATAATATTACTCTAAGTTTACAGTAAAATGGCATCCAACGCAGAAGTAGTAAATAAAAAGTGTCCTTGGCTTGCAGCTGAAGGTCAGATTAAAACCATCGCCACGGCTTACACTGTAGGAGAATAGGGATACGCAGTCATAATCAAAATGTTTATCAAGATATCATCCGTTATTCACAACACCACGGTGGCATATAATCAGAAGCTTTCAAAATGAGTCAGCACTATAGAAACAGGAGTAGGGGGGAGGGAAGAGATGGGTCTTTTATTGTTCACCGACGCCAAAGCATCTACTCAGACGACTGTTTACATCAATTGGATTAAGAGAATTAGTAGTGGTAGATGTTATTCTGCAAGCAAAGGTGGTGGTATCGGGCCCCCTCCTCTTCAGCGTTTCCGAGGGGCGTACATTACTGACAGCGAATAAATTAATATTTATGAGACGAGCAGACAGGTTTGGGGCAGTCACCGCATTCCCTTTGAAGCAATTAACACAGAGAAATGGAAGTGGCAGTTATTTTTTACTTTCACAAAAAAGACTCAAGTAGGATTTTGCTGACAATATGCCAAGCGTTAATTGTTAT